GCAAGAGAGCAAACAAACAGTGTAGGTACCCGACGCCGCATGCTCAGCCGAAGCCGCACGTGCTGACCCAATCAAACAGCCGCAGCCGTTTGAACATGCCGGAGATATTTCGCAGCATACCAGGCGTTTGTCACTGTGGTGTTACCGCTTTCACAGACGCGGTTTGTTGGCGGCGATAGCGGGGTACGCGAACTGGGAAGGGGCAATGCTGACTCATCAGCATCTGCTCACGCTCTCACGTGTATCCCCACTACCATTTCCTCAACATCACGACAATTTTCCGCTCAAACGCCACTACCATGACGAACGAGCCGCAGAGTCTACGAGGTCTATTCTCAAAGGCGGAGAGGGCGCGCGCAGAGCTCTCTTCGTCGTACGAAGCAAACAGTCCGACCTACCAGGAAAACCTTAGCGCGACAATCGCCACGTACGAAGAATGCCTGAAAATATCCGAGCAGGTGTCGCTTTTCAGTCCGAATGAGACACTGGAAGACATATCGTCGTCTGATCTACAGTACGTGTTATGCTACAACCGCAAGATACCGTGCACGTGGGCCCTCGCTTACCCTTCTAGATACATGGCGATAAACTACCACTTGGCAGAACTCGTACAGAAGATCTTCAACACCGACGTAGCCTTACGGAAGCAGAACCTACTGCGGGCACGGGGACACTATGAGCGATTTCTCAAGCTCTTAGATTCCTATGATGTGCTTGGCAAGGCAGATGCGAAACTCTTCGAAGTCTACGCGGAAGATAAGAACAACTTCTCTACCGCCAACACGCGGGATGCCGCGGCGAGACGGGACGCAAAGATTTCGCGATTCAGGGAGGAGAAGGAATTGAAGCGGAAACTAGAGGTATGTGTCCACACTAACTTTGCTTTCAAGGGTCGAACCTAGAGCTAAGGCCTGCAACAACAGTATCTGCGACAGAATCCCAAACTTGCCGAGCAGGATGAGCAAGTGGTACGAGAGTTGCATTTGACCAACTTGGCGTTCATGGTGCATCAGACTTTCGCTTCGTTGGAGTCAATGGCTCAAGAACTGCACATCATCTCGCTAGCCCCACCCGCGCCCCCACAAGGACAGGAACAGCAAGCGCCAGACGGCCGACAGGACGGCAGAGATAAAGACGGATACTCCGAACGCCTCGATGGTCAGTATGGCGGCCTGAGATATTCCGGCCCCATCTTGAGCGGCGACGGCAAACCCATGCGGCCTTTTACGCTATTGGATAGCCGTCAGACCCTAAAGAAGAACGTTTTCCGTCCGGATCACAGCCTGCCAACTATGACGATTGACGAATATCTAGAGGAAGAGAAGCGCCGGGGTGGCATGATCGAGGGTGGAGGCCCGCAGTCTGAGATCCAGGCTGAACCGAACGAGGACGATCTTGTCGCCGCGGACGAAGAGACGATGAAGCAGCGAGCGTGGGATGAGTATGTAGAGGCGAACCCCAAAGGCTCGGGTAACACTTTGAACAGAGGTTGAGCGTGGTTTGAGCGGCAGATCAGATACCCAGCAAAACAAATGCACCACCAAGGGAAGACTTTACAACTTCTCGGCTGCTAACTCCGGCCACTTTGCCGTCACCAGCTCGTACAGTTCCTTGTTCAGCACTCCGTATCCCTTGACATTGAGATGCAGCCCGTCCGTAAACCAGCCCGCTGGGAACGTCTTTGCGCCCAATAAGCCGCATCCCGGTGGCACATCCTGATCGTACTCCCATCCTTCTTCTGCAATGACTGCGTCCACCATGTGCTGCCAGTAGTTGAGACCAACGACTCTGCCCGTCTCTTCGTACTCTTTCGCGATCTGCATAAGCCCATCTGCATACCTCTTCTTACTCATGTAAGTCTTGTACCTTGGTCCTTCCTTTCGTGACTCATTGATCTCCTGTATTTCTCTTGCAGACCTGCTTTCTCCAGTATCTACCACAGACCCATTGATGGGTGGGGGCGTGATCAGAACTATCTTTGTGTTCTCCATAGCCTGCTCCGTGAGGATGGTGTCGAGGAACTCCCGTATGTTCGCTGAAAAGGTGGGCCAGGGAACATACTCCTTCTCGCCGATGAAGCAGGCGTCGTTTGCACCGAGGAAGATGGTGAAGAGGAGGGTCGGTGCCGCCTCAGGGGCTGTTGCGCTGCTTATTATACGGACAAAGTCTGCTTTCAGACGGGTTGACGTGTAGCTGCGTAGTTGGTGAGTGCGCCGACCGTCAACGTTAATTGGGGTTTGTACCCTGCTTTGCCTATCGTGCTTGTCAGCATCGGATCTGGGCTTTCAATGTTGTTCTTGCTGCTCAACGCGCTAGCATATCATGCCGTAGTACCTTCATTCACAACCCTTGCCTTCCCTAGGTACTTATTCTCAAGAAACCATCCAATCCCTTGCGTCTTCTCTTTGAAACTCCACTCGGTCATGGATGCGCCAAACAAGACAATCTTAGCCATGTTTGCAGCTCGTCTGATCACTCAGTTTGAAAAGGATAAACGAGAAAGCGTCTACGCGAAATGCGGAGTGAAAGATGGTGGGAGAAACTCATTCGCATTACCTTCGTTGACGATCCGTACCTTGTGCTGATACTGTTGCCTAAGAAACAACCCGAAGCCTTGCGTTTCCTCGCTAAAGCTCCATTGGGTGAGCGAGTCTCCGAAAAGCACAAAGTCTGGCATGTTGTTTGCGACAGATGAAAGCGATGCAGTGATTGGTCGTTCTTTTCGTTTCCAAAACGCTTTCTTGAACATTTCGTTGAATGTTGGGAGGCTCTGCTCCATCCCAAGTGCTGAGAGTGTTGGCGCGCGCAACCCGATGCGGCACAGTCAGGCGGCGCTAATGCACGTAGCACGTGTAGCTAGCACACCTTGAGGGCTGGCTGGCGTTGGGACGCGTCTTGTTCGCGTCAGTTCATCAATCGCGGACCTGCATATGTTCGATGCACAGAGCTATATCACAGAACTCGAAATCATAAAACCACGACTTCTTACGGGAATTATGGATCTTCGCCACTGCCGAAGCGGTCACGATGACATCACATCTTCGTGCAACGATTGAATCCACAACACTCGTCATGCTTTACGGCATTTCCAACACGACTTTCTGGAGACCACTCAGCTTTACGAATCCACCTAATACACAATTGAACGCGCTGAACCAGTATATCACGCAGCATACGACCATCTCCCAAACATGTCGTCCATCAGCCTCCGCCTCCGCGCGCTCCAGCGCCCTGTCGTATCTCAACTCCGCGCCTTCACCACTACACCCAGCTATGCAAAGCTGATGGACACGCCCAATCCTGCCTCCAACCTCCCAGACCCTTCTGAAAACTCCTCGGCCGCACCAAACGCCAAGATGCGTTCGGACACGCAAAACACCGACCAGCAATCGAGTGCGTCGCCTGACGAGCACAAGACCGGCGACGACCATCCGGCGAAGCAGCCAGACCACCAGGCGCAGCCGACTCGAACGACGGGAATCGGGGGCGAGACAAAGGTGCAAGGAGGGAAAGAGGGACTGGGTGAGAGGGGCGATAAGCAGTAGACTGGGAAGAGGACACAGGATGAGATCTATGGGAAGAACGGAACGGAAGGGTTGATGTTGAACAAAGGATACCAGGTGGGAGAACGCGATATACGTCTATTCCCGGTTTAGCCAAGCGATATCTGACTTCTCCAATCTGACGTCTCCTCATGTCATAGTTCCAGTACTGTTCCACCTGGCATTGTGCGTCACAATACGAGCGGTTGGTATCGTCAACAGAAGAACTTTCGTCACGACAGCTCACTCGTTCCACTTCTCAGTGACCGAGGCTCATACTCGCCGACCTGTCCGGCCCTAAGACGTAGTTTGTAGTAATACAGCGGCTAGGTCGCGACTACCGGAGCAGATCAATAGGTGGATAAAAACATCCAGAAGAGGTGTCTGATAACCGATAGTACCTACAGTAGGTACTGGTGCTCGCCGAGGTAAAGTCGCATCATACACCCGTACTCGGACAATCGCTTAAGTGATGCCCACATTCCATGCAGCACACCGTGGCACCAGCATGCAAAATCACGGCAATATGATCTGATTCCTGATCAACCCACCGGCCCCCATCGTGAAAGCGGACCGTAGTCAGCAAAATCGGGAGACCGAGGAACAATGATGCCCAGCACTAGCAGCCGATTGGTTTAAAACCCCCTCTCCATCCACACTTCATCCACAATCACGGCCCGTCGCGCAAAACACCGAGTAGAGATGCAGTGGACGCGTTATTCTAGAACAGAGGCTAACAGTCTCGATGATCTAAACACGGCAGCTCCTAAAAACCGATACTGCCTTGCAGGTCCACAGCTGGTGGCCCTAATCGTCCTGTGGCGTTGCGGACATGCGCGGGACGGTCCTTGTCATTGTTTCGCATTCGCGTTGCAATTACCACAGGAACGTCGGCTTACTCGATCCCATTGCCATCTGAACTTCAAGACGGAAGGGAAATTTTCTGCTCAACCATGGAGCCGCGATATATAGCTTCAAGAGCAGAAAAGACATCTTGCGCGAAAAGTACGTGTGTGTGGATACGGGTAAAGTGGAAAAGACGGCGGGGCTAAAACTACTACCATCAGTGTAACCATCCCTGCCAGGAGGCCTAGTTTTCATCTCGTGCCGTTTGCAAGTCTGAACGGCGAGGCTGCCAGCAGCCACGGGCTGTGTAGTCGGTCGCCTTACGCAGGTTGCCGGTCGAAGGGCCTAACATCATTCGGCATTCGAGATTTATAAAGTCGACGGGAGCGGCTGCATTGTCGACCATCAACCACATCGCTGGCTTAACATTCGTGAACTACTCGAGTGTTTCTTCAGTATGCGCTTTGTTCCTACTTTTGTTGTTGGCCTTTTGGCCAGCGCTGTTGCTGGCCGCGTTGCACCGCGGGGGATGCTCATTGACAGGCCGATGTAAGTCTGCCCGCTCGTAAACATGAGCGTATACTGATGCTCCCATACAGTGTCGCCCATTACATGGTCGGTCAACTCGATCTCGATGAGGTTGTGCAGGATATTGAGGAAGCGAGGGAGCTTGGTCTGAACGGCTTCGCGCTCAACTTCGGTGAGTGATTTTCATCCACAAAACTTCAATCGAAACCCGGGCTAACAATGAACAGATCAGTTCGCGTCTTGGTCCAACCAGACTGTTAAATACATGTTCGATCACGCAGACTATATTGGCGGTTTCAGCCTTTTCTTTTCCATGGATCACCACCCAGGCTTATTGGGGAAACCTACGAACTACGCCCAGTACTTCAACGATCACAAGGGCCGTCCTTCCTATCTTCTAATGACGGACCCTTCCGATGGCAAGACCAAGCCTGTCCTATCGACATTTGGTGGCGAGACCATTTCCAACGACGATTGGAACAAGTTCAAAGGAAAGGTGGGCAACGTCCTCGTCGTCCCTGGCTTCTCTGAGATCTACAACCCCACCGCAAACTTCTTCAATGACCGTGGCGCGATTGACGGTGTGTTCAATTGGAACTCATGGCCTGCGACAAACGAAGGCAAAGTCGCCGTATCTGACGCGACGGACCGTGTGTTCAATGACGCCGCCAACAAGGCCAAGAAGCTGTTCATGATGGGCATCTCACCTTATCAATGGAAGCATTTGGACTATAAGCAAAACTGGTACCGTCGCGGCGAAGACAACCTCGAGAACCGGTTCGGTCAGATCCTCAGTGTCCAGCCTGATATGGTGCAGCTTCAGACCTGGAACGATGCCGGCGAGGGCCATTACATGGGACACCTGCACTCGACGCCACTGAACGAAAACACAACGAAGGTCATAACAGGGTACGACCATACTGGATACTGGCAGATTCTGAAACCGTTCATCGCTGCGTGGAAGCAAGGCGATCGTACAACAGCTAACATGTATCCCACGAATGGCAAACCTGTCCAAGGCACTTTCTGGCACCACACTCTTACCGTCAATGGCAAATGCACCAACGACGAGGTGCCGCCATCCGCAGACATAAAAAAGGCAGCTGAAGATGCCGTGTCTGGCGTTCTACTCGTCGCCAAAGGCCAGACGAATCTCATCGCTGTTGTCAACGTTGGCGGAAAGAAGCTGGACCAAACGCAGAAACTCAAGCCAGGATTTAACAAGTTCAAGTTCACCGGCCTGGAGACGTTGGTCCCAGGTAAGGTGCAGTTGGAGGTTTGGGATGGAAGCACCATGGTGGGAGGCGGGTATGGAAGCATTGAGGTGACGAAATCGAAGCCGCTTTGCAACTACCAGTTCCAGGTCGTTGCGGTGCCTTCATAGATATTTCTTGAGTAGGAGGGCAGACTCCGTGTCGACGGCTGGGTGCCGGCGTAGCAGGCAAGTAGATGTTAGGGAACACTTTCAGATAGTCAATGCATAAGTGTTCGATGAAAAGTTTCCGAACTGTACCTGCAGCGTGCTTACTGTGCCTCACATTGAAACAAATGAGCTCATCTAGCGTTTCTCCATGCTGCATGTGCCTGTGTGCGCTCTTAGCCGGTTAAGCGACGCCGTACAAAGCGGTGTTGCAGATGTGTGATTGACGCATGTTTGAGTACATGGTGCTATATTGAAGCACTATGAACGAGACTATCTGAGGCGCAGTACTGTAGTATTGAGTCGAGATCCCATGTCGTCTAGGTCAACAATCCGGAAGAATTAGAGTGATCAATGTGCATAACGCGATTTTCGACTAACTTTGCAGGTATGTCGTCTCGGTGCACAAGCTCATGTTATGATCGACCAGCGCAAGGGTTTGGCCAAGTTGTTGGGTCTGCGTAGCCCCTCTGGCGGCCTGCGGCCACGGGGGCGATCACGTTTGCGAACCCTGATTGCGCGGTATTACTATGAAGCCGATCGGAAGCAGAGCCGAGGGCGCTGGATTCGCTGATCTTGATAGAGAAGGTGCAATGGAAAATGTAATGAGACGGCGGGATGGCGCGGATGAGCTACCATGAGTCCATTGGCGGAAGCACGGCGGGATCCTTGCGATAAGAGGAGTTACGGGGCAAGGCTGCACATCGTGGTATGGGTACGAGGCTACCGTGTTGTCGGTATCGGTAATTGGCGATAGCCTGGATAGAGGTCAGAAGCTTCGGCGCATCCCGCGTAGCTCCACGGCACGACTCGTCCAAAGTCTATTCTGTTGTGCTTCCAGTGGAGAGCGATCGACCTCAACTACTCCTGAACAGCGAAGAAACTAATCGGTTAGCGATTGGGTTGGAAAGAGTAAAGTATGCTGCAGTTGGACATGTGAAAGATTGAGGTAGAGTGCATGCAGGGCTGCCACATGTGGCATAGCTCCTGATCCGAGCCCTGATGCGCCGTGCCGGAATATTTCTGATATAGAGGTATGACCGGAGCGGAAGATAAGCTATGACTGACACATGTAACCATTGGGTGATTTTATGTGATGAGTACAGACTCGAGTTGGAAGGGTTTCTCTCTGCCACGCCTGATTGGAGGTGCGGCGAGCGGCTGCCGTGATGGAAAGGCTGCTCGAGTCCACTTGGGCTGCGCAGAACTGGGTAGAGTTATCACCGAGAAAACAGGGCCGCCCAGGGTGTTCCGAAGTGACGGATATGGGCAGGAGGCCGTGACAGGATGGCAGAGATACGTTGGCGATGTTTGATCGTGTTTGAGTATGCATCACGCGATGCTTACTAGGAGCGACTAGGATAGCAATCACGTCTGGTAATTGTGTGACTGGGCGTTGATTGACGATTGATAGTTACACACGGAAATGGTGAGAGTGGGCCGAAGGCAAATGGGATGGCTTCAGGGGTGGTGGGCACAAGCAAGCATGGTGGCTTCGAGGCCGTTTGTGGTGGCTTGCAGGGCCGTGACGCACGGGCATCTCTCGCATGCCTCTAGCCGCGACTGGGCGCTGCACCTCGGGTTAGCATCATCAACCCCAACAGGCCCTGCGCGCTCTTGGGACGCCGGCAGTGAGACGTGAGATTTGTTTTGGCGCATCTCTGGGGTTGGTCGATAGCGCCGCGCATCACTGAGGCATGCTCCCGCAAAAGCACCTCCGAGCAATTGCGAGCAGGCGGAGCCATTGAACCCTCTGCTGCGGCTCGCTGGTCCCTCATCCTCACCCCACGCACTCGCGCTGTCAAAAAGCTTTGGCTCCCCAGACCGGACCTGCATGCCCAGTGACATGCCTACTGCCTGCTGGACCCTCGTGCATTTACTGTAAACACTCATATACGTGCACGTCGCCTGCCGTAGCGCATCTGTACCACGGCAAGTGGAGATACAAGACACCATGTCAGGGTAAGCCGCGATACCTGCTGTCTTAGTAGCCTTAGTAATACTTCAGACGGAATCGCTAACATGTCCAGTTCCATGCGCGAGTCGCTGAAGGCTCTGAACACGACCTTCGCGGCCACTACCGTCCCCTACCCTCTCCCCGACGAGCTCTATGCGACCATAGAAGCCTTCCTCGAGCGCTATGACGACATCGACGACCACGACTCCCAGCGCTTTCACGATGATCTCCACGCGCTATACCTCCGCCACGTCGCCAGTAGTCCCGAAAAGCGCGGCGCCTTCTTATCAGCTCTGCGACTGCTTCGGCCCGCGATAACGGGCGAGGCGCGCTTGACCGCCTGGTGGAACTCGGCGCTGAGGCCTGTCATCGACGGCATAGGCTACAAGAAGAGCGAGATTGAAGATGCGAGGGCCTTTATCCAGAGCATACTGGTGTACGACAATGAGGTCGACAAAGATGGCGAGCACGCGCGCTTGTCCGCCCTCTTCACCAAGAAGATACTCGACGCATACTTGGCGCGGACCAACGTGCCTGCTTCACCTGAAGATGCCGTGAGGCCAGAGAACGAGTTTGTGGCCCATGAGCTCGAAGCTGTCCTGGTCGACTTTGGGCGCAAGATGCCCAAGGTGAGTACCTTCCCTCAGTATCATGGTCTTCACTAATACATCCAGGTCCTCCTCCTCACACTCGACAATCTCCTCCTACAGAAGCAGCATCGCATACAGGCCTTGAACCTGCTCAGTGCCTTCGTCCGCCTCCAGCCGCCGCACCTCCACCTCGTCCTCGAGACCCCGCTCATTCAGAACCTTGAAAAATGCCTGCTCATAGACAACTCGTCCACTGTTATCGAGCTCGCTCTCGTCGTCCTCATCATGTTCCTGCCTCACATTTGCGGAGCGCTGACCTCTGATCACCACCTCGAGAAAATGTTCCTGGTCTACTGTCGGATACTATGTTGGGACAAGTTGGGTAACACTGACGAGAAAGGCGGTGATATGGACATGCAAGACGACGATAGTGAAGAGGGGGATGACGAAACCGATGCCGACTCCGAACACGCCTGGGAGCAGGTGCAGCCATCCATGGACTACCCTGATAGCCCGCCGCCGACTCTTATGCACTATTTCACCTTCCTATACGGTCTCTTTCCCCTCAACTTCATGAGCTTTGTGCGCAAGCCAAGGAAGTATCTCAAGTCACTCAACTTTCCAGGCGCGCGCGACTTCGACCTGGACCAAGATCTCATCCACAGCCGGACGGAACCCTACCGTCGCGTTCATCTACTCCACCCGAACATGTTCACGACCACAGTCGAAGACGAGCTGAGCGAGAACAGGTGGCTGAAAAGCGACCCCGCAGACGTCGTCATTGAATGCATGGACCTTTGCGTTGCCGTATCGTCGACTTTGGAGGACCCCGGCCCACCACCCAACGCAGCTTTACCCCCTGTCCCAGAAATACCCTCGCAATTCACTCTAGACGATCAGGACGGCACAACAGTACACGAATCAGACGCAAGCTGGAGGAATACCCAGTCGACTATGAACGTTTCGTCAAGCGATGCTCCAGATGTTCCCGATCTTGAACTCCCACCAAGGAGCAAGTCTATCAAGTCTGCGGTATCTATCAGGTCCATGGCCTCACCGTTGCTGAAAGGTCGCGACATGATGGATTCTCCAACACTGCCGCCTACTAAAGATACAAAGAAGCCGGATATGTCTGGTCAATCCGCACAGCGGTTCGTGGCACATCAACCCGGCCTTGACAGTTTCGCCCAATCGATCTCCGGCAATCAATCTACCCACCATGACTTCCAAAACCACACCATGGCGTCTTTGCAAAGAGAGATCATGCTACTTCGGAATGACCTCAACTTTGAGCGGTATCTCAAATTGCAGCATCTTGCTCATATCGGACAGCTACAGCGGAAGCATATCAAAGAAGCGACTGTGGAGGCGGAGACCCAGAATTTGATCAACACCAACAAGACACTAAAGGCCAAACTCGCCAAGGCAAACGAGCTGTACGCCCAACTCAAAAAGGAAACGCTTACGAGCCGGAGCCAGTCCAAGAAATGGGAAAGCGAGTTGAACAACAAGGTCCGGTCGTACAAAGAGAGTGAAAAGACCTGGCACAGTGACGAGGGCGGTCTGCGATATGAGCTCCAAAGGACGCAATCAGACTATGAGCAACTCAAGAAGATTGTAGAGAGAGCTGAGGCAGAGCGACTAAAAGCCCAACAACGGACCAAAGCGTTGGAATACGAGCTTGAAGACTACGCGGACATCAAGCGGGAGCTTGAGGGTGCGCAAGATAAGATCATAGCATTCGAAGACCAGAGGAAGGAGCTACACACCCTCATTCAGGAGCGGAACGACTTGCGCAATGATCTCGAAATCGCAAACATGCGATTGAACAGCCGTGAGCAGGAACGCGAGCGGTCGATCAAGGCTTACGAGCGCCGGATTATGGAGCTCGAGTCCCGACTACAATCTTCCGACAGAAGCACTGGCAAGCCAGGGCAACTGCCGTCTTCCGTGCAGCAGATGCTCGACTCTGCGCTTGCAGCGAGCAATGCCAAAATGCAGCAACTCAAGAAGACTCATTACCGCCTCCTTGAGCAACACACCGAGCTGCAGATGAAGTACCATGAGCTCGAAGGGGAGCGAGAGGCTGAGATGGGACAGCTCTACCCCCGGGACAAGTCTGGTCATATCGATTTTGGCACTTCACGGGTTAGTCGCAACTCCAGCATCCGACAGGCGACCAACTACAGCTCGAGATATTTGACACCTCTATCTACTACCGAGGCCACCCCAAGCGAGGAGCAAGAGTATTACGAATATCGATCGCCGGACTCCGTCCACAGCCCAGGATCAGCCGCGTCACCACCTCGTCCTGCTCGGCTTGAATCACTACAACAGGGGAAGCCGCAACGATCTCAAACAGCGCCATCGCCGTACCCTGGGTTTGGTGGCGGATACGGACCAAACTTTTCCGCAGCATATGATGCGTCTCTTCACAATCAGTTTCAGGCTCCAAAGCCTCAATCTAGCGGGCAGAGTAGCTTCTCCGCCGACACCGATGGAAGCTCAAGTAAGGAGAGAAAAGACAAAGTAGACCCAAAATCGGAGGTCCGGATATACGGTCGGGGTAAGTTATCGGTATCACGTCCTGCAACATCAGAGGCTGACTATGAGACAGGCGGCGCTCAGAACATCGGAAAGAAGGTCAAAGAGAAGGAACAGAAGAAGCCTTCGTCTTCCAAAACTGGTGGCTTCCGCGGCCTCAAGGGCATAATGTGATCGGATTGGGTCACTTACTTGTTTTGCATGTGGTGCTGCCGATCGAAGGCGCCACCATCTCATGAGACGGAGTTTTGCGTGACGCGCCTCTGTCACACTCGGTTATCTGCATCCTTCTCTATCTCGTCTCGCTTCGGCACGACTACAACGGCCACTTCGTCATCGCAGTCGCGGCTCAACATATTTCGTCCGCTCGTCTTTCTTTTGTTCATTAGTTTCGCATCTATGTATAACGACACTGCATGACGCATAGGCCGTTTCAACGCCTACGACTGGTTGCATAGCGGCATAGTCCTCAGATACCTGCCTCCAATGGCATCTTAGCATCGACTTACCCGTCGACTGTAGCATAGTCCCAAGACTAATAGTGTAATACATTGATACCAATCACATCCATTGATCTCTCCATGCGTACACTCATGCACCAGCATCATACCGTTCCTCCAAAACGCAAGCATGTATCGAAGGCGCCCACAGCAAGAGCGCCCTCCCGCCAAGACACTAACACGCTCTCATTCGCGGAGAGAAGCCGAGACCTGACAACCACCTGGACCGCACCTGCCATTCAGATCCCCACGACACCACCAACACGCCGAAGATCGAATCGCGACGATTAATATCCACAGCCTCAGACCTAGGAACGCATCAGGCCCGCAACTACTGCAACCGCCATCGCAAACAGTAAAGTTTTGATGGGCCCCGAGTACTTGCTTTTTCCTCGTCTGTCCACACACTTGCAACAGTCAGCCCCCTTGAAGCTAGCGCCGTTGGCACTATTCGGAAAATAGCTCACAGGAGATGTCATCCCGCACTAACACGTACGACTAAGACAACGGCCGCCTTGCTGTCCCCTTCCCTCCTTCCTCCCCACGTTCGCGGCGGCCGGGAGCGCGAGCGTACATAAAACGGGTCGAGCGTGTTTGGTACTGAACTGGGTGCCGTAACGTGGGGATCCTGGTCTGACATGCACTACTCGGTAGATAACCAACTACGACTGATCGCATAAGGCATCCATACGGCAGATACGCGGCACAAGCCAAGACCTATCGAGACCCCGTCGGGCTTTCCATAAGCAAATGCTTTCTCGACTCACGCGTCCTTATCGTGCAAAGGGCTGACTCGTGTTGCTGAGTCGGGGTCGGTTGTCGCTACGAATAGTGCCGATGGTTCAACAAGTGATCAACCGTGTCGCGGAGACGGGTGCTGCCACACTGCAGGCGCCGAGGAGTGGAGAGGGTGTGTGTTTGGAGGTGCGCTAAGTTGTGCCGCGCAAAAGGAAGGAGACAGAATGTGGAGCGGATGGGTACCCGAGCTTTTGCATCTAAGGGGGGCTTGGGTGATTGGCTGGGTTGGGAAACCGGTCGTTGAGGAGGGGGATGAGTTTGTGGACGACATCGCCTGGATTTTGTGCTTGAAACTGGAGTCTTTTCGCGAGGGACTTTGGGTGTGTACATTGGTAGGTTGGTCATTTGTGCGAAGTCGTACTCTGATACCGTTACCATCCCATGGTACTGCTGACGACCCATCGCAACGAGCGACTCGACTTCTGGATTATGGATGTATCTATCTAAATAGGTCTTCTCGAAAAGAAAAGCATCGTCAGCACCGGACATTGGTGGGTTGGTACATCGATGACATTAGTTTGTCAGTGTAAAATTGTCGTCTCTATACTTCACCACGGCACCGAAGAATGACTCTGCCATGAACGCGTGATCCGTGGAAGACCTATGTAGCAGGAAAGCGAATGCATGATATGCAATCATGCTAACGCGAAGCTGAGATGTAAGCATATATCATTAGTTAAGAACGACATTGGCCTTCCAAGATTACATTGTCGTTGGCAAACGTGTTAATTTTCTGTACTTCATATTCTATAAACACATTGTAGTCCGCAACACTTGCAGCCAGAATCTCAGCCAGAAACCACCTTGCTCATATCAAGAGCCTTTCCAATGCCATGTCTCTACCAATCAAACGCATCGAAAGTACCTCAAGACCCATTAGCCCCAGCTCATCTGCGCATACCCTGTGGGAGTGGTACAGTCTCCCTAATACCGGATATGCTCTGACGCGGCTTTGTACGTTGATTATCGAGGGGTGCCCTTATGACCTCCATACTAGAGCTTTGATTTCGTGGAGCTGTCGGAGACGAAGGGGGTAGTGGACGGTTCCGCGAACTGCCCGGTAGGCTACTGTGCCATGTTTTCTGCCAGAAGACCCTTGCTTCCTTCTCTTTGGCAAGCTCTGCTGACAGCGCCTTTATCGCGACGGTCTTCTCCGCCCGCTTTCTCATATGACCGGCGTAGGAGCTCCTGTTATAGGCTCTCTGACGGTCGACTTTTGAAGTGAGCGTGGCGATTGTACCTCTCATCTCTTCTTTCTGTGCTTCCCACTCAACCTTTTCCTCTTTCATCGCCATGTACATGGTTTTGTAATGTACAGTCTTCTGTTCTTGATCGATCAGCATAGCCTTCCAACCCTCGCTCCCTTCCTCTTGCTTGAGACGTTTCGCAGCAGACCCAGCTAGAGCATGCTGGATTTTGTACTCCTCTTCCCACGTGTCACGTTCTGACTGTGCTTCGCGTCGCTTCGTTCTTTCTCGCATCAGTTTGTCTTTTGCGACACTAGTCTTTGTCTCCTGTTCCACGAGCTGAGCTCTCAGACTTCGTACCTCGCGTTCTATCCTGGCGTGGATCTGGGCGTCACGATCGATGGTCGTCTCCTAAGGCGATGTGTTAGAGATCGCAGCGTATGGAGACGTGTTGGTCGGAGAGTTTGACTTACGAGCTGACGCAGACGTTTGTTTGAGTCTACACCATCATGTTAGCCAGGTCTTAACAAATCACGAACACATTGTCTTACTGCGTGGTAGATCATCAGTCAGATCATCGTTGAGGTCTGCAAACTGGCGTTTACGCAGAACGAGCGGAGCTGGGTTCCTATCTCGAACTACCAACTGACCATTTCGTTCAGTAGATGAAGGAAGCACGATATGGTGCAGTCCACGACTTGGAACTAGAGTAGTGGATCCATTTCCCGAATGCTGATCGAATTCGGTATTGTCTGCGTTGTCCCGGGATCTCTGGTGCAGGCTAAAGTTTCTGCATGCCTGTCTGAAGCTGCTCAGTATGTCCGGGTTCACCGAATCCGTGACTTGCTCCAGGCGTCCAGTCTTGAGGAACACGAAGTTGATCGCAGCTTCAGTCACAGCTCTTTCAAGCTTACGTTCTGAACTCATGCCAGGCCTCGTGTTCTTGTAGTCAAGAGCGCCGCCGATATAGCTGAAAGGCGGATCGTAATACACTTTCGATGAACGAACGTCATGAAGTAATGGGGTGACTTGGACTCCAGCGCCGGAGTAGTAGCGTACACGCTCCCCTGTCGCTTCAGCCCACACTGGGGGGCCCCCGCTCTTGAATGTGTCATGGCCGACGAGGAGCATATGACACCGGCGAATTGTGTTTTTCTCGTCCAAGTAGACCTTCTCCCCGAATGTGTAAATGTCCACGTCTGCGATAGCTGCGAATTGGTTTGCGAGCTTGCCGGCACTGTATTTGGTGAAGTCATCAAGAACGTACTTCTTCTTGAGTAGCATCGCGACCGGTGGGAGGAGTTGTACGCGAGTTTCGATCAGTGTTGCCGCAATGCTATTCCGATCGCTGGTCAGTGTTCGAGCTTCTCGAAAGTATAGATAGAGATCTTACCTGGGGTACTATCGCTGCCGCCTTGCAAGTCTGAAGCGAGTAAGCCTTTTCTCGGAATTCCTGGGTTCCTTGAGTAGGAAGGTTGTTGTCAAGGAAACCAAAATTGAGAAGTGGCGGAGAGGTGTCGCGCTTCTCGCCGCCAAAGACGCGCTAAGCGTCAGGGCAAACGCACTCGTGTAACGTCAACGAAGTGAAGGTGGACTTCACGAGGAGACTGACTGAGCTGCGAGAACGGTGATTACATATATTAAGACAGAGCACGAACAAGACAATTATGGCCATGTAGGCCGTCCGAACTAGATGAAGAAAGATGGACACATTTCAGAGGTACGATAAAGGCCAACCAATTAGTGAGGTCATTGATCATAAGTTGGAATTATATACAGGTCGCGATGTACCCGTCTTCGCCCTAAATCAGACATCAGCATCTTCAAGTGATAACCCGATACAGCCTCACTCACCCCCAACACGTGTGCTGACTTACGCCTTATACACAACCTTGCTAACCTTGTACTCCACCACAACACCAGGCTTTCCTTCGCCTGTGATGAAATGGCCGGCAGCGACATACGTCCCGTTCTGCAGGTCCTTGTACTTCTCGTTGCCAGTCTCGAAAGTGAAGTTGACAAATGAATCGCCGTAGTCCGTAGTCCTAGCATCCGAGGCACCAGATAGCACCTTGCCGACACCAGGCGTGAGCTTCACGGTGCCCTTGTAGTACATTGCCAGAATTGTTCCATCGTGGTTCCTATACATTCATGAGCTCATGATAATATCCGAGTAGATAGAGATAGCTATGCACTCACTTGACCTGACTCCTAACATCCAAGCGCATGTTTCCGCCATCGGCATCGTTGTGAATATAGTCGTAGCCGGTACCGTGCAGCTCTCCATCCAGCTTTGGCTCGAATCCCGGTTCACTCTTCACTGTACCGGATACCATCGGGACGATGACCAACTGCGCGCCATGCTGGCCTCCAACTTGCATCGGCGCATCGATGTCGACGCGGACAGTGAAAGCGGGTTGGAGAGATGGGAAGCCTGACATTTTTTTTGATGTTGCAGAAGGATTTTGGTAATGGTTTTGTGGAATTGATTGCTTGTATTGGATGCGATCCTTAGTATGTACGATGGGTTTGGGGTGGAGCTAAGCTATGTAGTTGAATGCGGAAGCTACCCCTCTGACCCCACTTTGAGGAGCTTCCTTCTTTCCGCACCGGTGACGGCATCAAATGAGAGGCATCCGCTCTGTGCACATGTAGCATTTGTATTCCGGGGTCACATGTACGGAACGATGCGCCAACCCGAAACTCAAAATCCACTGATCCTCCCCTTCTTTTTCTTCTTCTTGTCTAGCTTTCCTCCAAACTTGCCCCGCTCGACTTGACTTTGTGGCATCATGAAGCCACCAGTCTGGAATGGTATCTGGCTTTGACTTTGGCTCTGACTCGGTACCTGACTGCTACTACCCATACCACCCAGCATTGGCCCTGGAGAGCTTCTCGGATATGCGTTAAGTTGACTCGCAGTCTTAGCCCTCATGAGCTCGTTCTCGCGTTGTTGGCGCTTTTCCCTACGTTCCTTCTTTTTGCGTTCCTTCTCGCGTTGTTGCTGGCTCTCCTCATCTAATTCTTCCGCCCGAAGAGTACGCTCCATATTGACCCAATTATACACACGCGGATCCTTTCCTAATTCCCAATGCGCGAGACTCTGGGAAACGTTTGGCGGAATGATAACCGGGTCTTTGAAAGTTTGAAGATACTTGCTAAGCCGACTGAGGGGGTCTGACGAAGCTGGCTCCATGGAAGGTATCTCGGGTGGGGACGATCCATACACAGAGGATGGAGGCAAAGACGAAGGTGGTATAGATGAGTATGGCGGTGTCGGTAACGGCTGAGAGGCAGAATATCTTGAGGTGAAGTTGGAGGTAGCCTCCTTTGGTCTTGCAGGCAAGATGGGTAAGGCTACGGCACTGTCCTGACTCTGCCCACGCTGTATGCTAACAGCGGGTACTTGGATCCGATCGTCACGTATACATGTGCTTGAGAACATCAACTCCGTAGCGATTCGCCGAGCCAGAAGTTCTTGGCGTTGCCGAACGCGAATTGGCATATCGGGTGGCATAGGCGCAACCCACGTCTGGAGTATACTATCGTATGCGTCGGAAATGGTGAGGTCGCCATCGTCGGTCAAGCCAAGTACGCGCATAGCTGCGATACGCTGAACATCCACAGTATCTTGACCATTTGGCGAAGAGAACAGCTCTTGGAAGTTGGACGAAGCTTCGTCAATGTCTGCAACATGGAACTGTGCGTGCGTAAACTCCATCCTGCAATTGTTAGTTCAGAATGCAAACAAGACCCAGTTCACTAACAGAGTACCCAATGGTAAAGGTGGCAAGTCTGCACCAGTCGCCAGCATTTCGTTCACCTGATCCATGACGGCCACCGCATCGATGGTACCCGAGACCTGCTCCGCCGCGCTCTTTGACTGAGATAGAATCTCGCCCAGAGAAGCATTGTCCCGAGTTTCCGGCATGGCAGCACCGTCTGAGGATCTGCGCAATTCTGGCTGCTGCCTGCCAATCTTGGAGCTTGGTAACCCTCTGTCGACCAATCCATTAGGCACTATGAAATCCTCGTCTTTGTTGCGTGGTTTCGAGTTAAAGATGAGGTTTCTAGGGCGTTTGATCGTGCTTCGCGTGAAGTCTACAACGGCATGGTCGTTCTCGGTGGTATGTCCTGTCGAGGTGCTCTGACTCCAGACAACCAGCTCGCGCGTACTTAAGTCGGAGAGCGTCACAAACAGTTGGAGGAAAACGCAGTCTTTCTTTGAGTATTCCCATCGCATGGGCTCGATGTACAAGTTGGTTATGTGCGCGGAACCACCGATGGGTATGTCTAGCAGGGTCGGATCTGAACTGGTAACGAGGCCGGAAGAATCGGAGGTATTGCTGCGGAAGCTTTGTATTTGGACCAAGTTGTTAACTCGAGAGTGGAGCATAACACATGTTTCTATCAGGCTGTGAGTGAGAGCTTTTGTCGCTCGATTGATCTGCAACTTACCATCGTTCGACAGCATCTGCACGCTTATGTGAAGTGTGAAATCCTCCACGCCCCGGTAGTGCCGCCAGGATGTGAGGACTTTAGCTCCAGCTTCACCAGCCCTCGGAAGCAGCTCACTTGGTACAGTGACCGAAAGGAGGAATAAACGAGTGGAGGTCAAGACGAAAACCCGACTTCTATCTCTTGGGTGTTGCTTGACATCCAAGATCCAGTCTGCCGATCGCTCACTGAAAAGCTCTGGGCAGGGAAGGTATGACGTTGTCCTGCCCTTGATGCTGACGATGCTCAAATGGCGCCTGTTGCACACCAGCAACGTCGTTGTATCAGCTACCCAGAGAATCCTCGCCCAACCGTCTTCGCAAGCTGTGTCCCCGTCCTCTTCCAGTTCATCGATCTTTCCACGAAGCAGGCATGAAGCCGAGTACGTGCCAAGTCTGGGCCGATGCTCGATGTCCCATACACTCCATGTCTGATTCAGGTCGACGAGTGCAAACTGCAACTGGAAGTCTGGATTGAATGTGACGTCGACATGAGCAAAGCCATCAGTATCGTTCTGACTTATGCTGAGTATAGGGTGGAGTTCGATCGAGGAGGCGGGTAAGCGGTAGAACAGTGAGACAGCGGAAGCGCGTGGTCGGCGGTGGTAGTCTGGGTGGAAAAGGACGGTACGGGTAGGCAGTCGCACAGCCAGAAAGGGTCTGCTGTCATCCGAATGCGAAAAGTGAACTTGCTGGATCGGTGCCGCTTCCTCATTCCAGAAGCCACTCTCCGTATCTTTCAAGGTCGGCCCTTCTATCCATGACTTCGGGTCTGCTGTCCAACCGTGTCTTTCGTTGTCTAGGATTGACAACTGCAGTATGCTACCAGATTCTCCCGTCGGCAATGCAGCTATTTGCCATGCCTCATGTCTATCCTTGGGTGAAATCGAACCGAAGGACAGTAGGTCGCCGACGAGCGGATCGTAGGTCGAAGCCGTGGATGATATGGCAGCAGATACTACAGCTAGATCGGGGAGGACTTCGGCTGCTGCAGAGAGCTGGGGGTGTTCTTCGATGCTGTTGCTGATCTCTTTCTGTACGCTGGTCCTACTCGTTAGGATTTCTGCAGAGAGAGAAAAAGTCGGTGTCGCATGACTGCTCGCAGAAGTCGCGTCCTTGGAAGTTCGTATGCGCTTGAATGAGCGTGTAGTATAGGGCCTGGCAAACGTCCACTCTCTATTATCCAAGTCGTAAGTCGCTGCACCGGGATGGCCGTAGTTCAGATCTTTGAGCGATCTGTCAGCCATTGGGCTGTCGTAAAGGTTCTCGATCCGTAACGACGCTGGAGTATAAACTCATTCTTTGTACGCAGAAAACGAACGACCGTATGCGAGAGCGAAAATTGTGTCTGTCAAGGTTGAGCATGCGCCGGACGCGATGATGAAAGTAACCTTGGAACCTCGCCAAAAAGTTCCACTAGCGCCAAAAGTCGCGTCGGCACGTGCATGCGCCCCGCTATCGTTCCTGCCGCGTTAGCGCGCATGTTTGTTTACGGAGCAACCATCTCATCCGCCCTCACCACTCAACGTCGCATCGCACCCCACCACATATTCGCATACGCCACGAGAAACTCCTTAGTCGAACCGCAATCATGACGACCTTCGAGCCCTCCATGAGCACCACCATGCGCGCCTCCTCGCACGATGCGCCGTCCATGGCCGACCAACTACCCAGTATCAATTTCGGATTCGACGATCTGCGCAGTCGCATGAACCAGTTCACTACACGATTTGACGCTTTCATCGAGAATGGCCGCAGACGAGTACTGGAAGAGCGCAACCAGTTCCGCATGAATGTTGCAGAACTCCATGGTATGACAACATCACATTTATCTGCGCGCCAATCGATCGCACACTAACTATCGCGACAGAGGATCAACGCATGAAGAAGCGTGATATCGAAATCCTCGAACTCAAGACAGCGCAGCACAGCCAGACAATCTCCAAGGAATCCCAAGAAACCTCTGAGATGCAAGAAGCCATCTCCGCCCTCACCCTCCAGCGCGACGAGCGCCTAGCCCACCGCGACAGCCTGCGCGCCCAAATCGCCGAAGTACAAAAGACCATCTCCGCACGCCGCGAAGCACAACTCAAACACCGCCGTTACCTCGATGGGCAAAGTCGGTACAACGAGCCAGAACTCGACTTCTGGGAGAACTATCTGGGCTTGAGGATTGAAGGGCTGGGCAAGGATGACAGACTGAAGTTCGTTTATACCAACGTTGATGAGAGGGAGTGGGACCGTGAGGCGTGGTTTGAACTGGATACCAGCGAGCGCGATTACAGAGTGCTAGAGATGCGACCGAAGGTCGAACGGGAAGAGGTCGAGACGGTTGTGGACAGGCTGAATGAAACGCGCGACTTGGCAAGCTTCCTGAAGGGCATGCGAGAGCTGTTCGTCGACGCATGCAAGTAATTGCGAGCAAGCAGCAGTCCTGTCATGATGTCCTTATGTAATTATGCCTTTAGTTTTGATAGATACCCGCAAGCAACTTTTCTTCTCGTCTCATCGACCGCCATTCTTGATCTTGTAGAACTCCGGTGCATACTCCGTCAACCAGTCCATCTCCACTGTACTCATATCCCTGATGTAGATCTTGTCTCTTGTAGACTGAATCTCAGTGTATATGACCCAATCCGCCTTCCGCGTGAAGAACACAGACGTCGGATGAGGCCATAAAGTCGTCTTTCCATCGACAGTGGTAAATGTCCCATCTGCCTTCATCCTCGCAGCATGTGCGAAGAACCCGGTCGTTAGACAGCGACGGACGCGCTCGGCGAGTGGCGTGCCACCAACCCTCAGCACGCCTGATGATGCGAGGACATTCTCTTTGACACCGAAACGATCCAAGTATGCTGCTAGTTGTTTCCGGACACTAACTGCCTTGACGAGCGACTTGTGGTTCAGACTGTTGGAATGACACCATGACGTGTTACCCATTCCAGCTTTCACAAAAGCTTCGTATACATTGTATAGTGTAAGGTGATCGCCTTCTGCTACGGCAAATTTCCGCCTCGCCGCATCAAGCTGCTTCTTTCCGCCGTCATGAGACACGAAAGCATTGCCTTGCAGAGTCATCATTGCGGCTATTGAGAGCATTTCGCTCAAGCAGCCAAACTCCGGTTCAGCAGCCTTCAATAATGCGCGAGCAAGCATCGGTTCGAGCGGAAGCTCCGCCATACGCGTGCCCAGGGGCTTCGTGAGGCGAGCATGAGCGTCCAACGCGCCGAGAGAGTAGAGTAAATCCAGAGCGCGCGTTACTAGTGCTGATGGCGGCGGCGAGAGGTAATCGAACCGCACCACGTTTGTGATGCCCAAATTGAGAAGCTGCAGAATCACAGGTGCGAGATTCGAGCGGGCGAGTTCTGGGAACGTGGCTTGCTCCAAGCTTTCGTAAACGCTTTCAGGATACAGTCTGAAGCATTTGCCCGGCCTCGTACGTCCAGCACGACCCGCTCTTTGTGTGGCACTAGCTTTCGATACGGGCACGACAGCGAGATTTTCGATGCCTAGATTGGCGTTGTAAGCGCGAAGCTTGACATATCCTGAGTCCACCACAAAGACGATGCCGTCAATAGTCAAAGATGCCTCTGAGATGTTGGTACTAAAAACGACGCGTCGCGTGTCTTGTGGCGGTTTTGTGAAGATGAGATTTTGGTCTTCTGTTGGTAAGCCAGCGTAGAGGGGCAAGGGCATGAGCCTTTGCTTTGATGAAGACATGTCGGCAATGCGGTCACTCAGCTTGTCGATTGCATCGTCTATTTCTTCACGTCCTGTTAAGAACACGAGAATGTCGCCTTCGCTCTCGTGCTCGTGGATCTTCATGACCGTGTCGATTGCTGCTTCCACGTAGTCGTTCGTTGGTTCCTGTAGGTACTGGATCTCAACCGGATATGTGCGCCCTTCGATACCGACGATGTACCCGAATTCTTCTTTGCTCTTGCCGTGGACCTTTTCGCCATCATCAGGGTTGAAGAAGTCAAGGAAGCGTTCCGCCTCTAGCGTAGCGCTGCTTACAACAACGCGCAAGTCTTCTCGCTTCCTCAGCACCTTTTTCAGTAGGCTCAAGAGTATGTCAGAAGACAAGCTTCTTTCATGTGCTTCGTCGACCATAATGACTGAATAGCGTGAAAGGAGCGGATCGACGAGCATCTCGCGCAGTAACAGGCCATCTGTGACAAACTTCACCTGCGTAGCCGCGGACGTGACATCTTCGAATCTGATACTGTACCCGACTTGTTGACCAAGAGGCGTACCCAGCTCTTCTGCTACTCTTGCGGCTACGCTAGTACATGCTATTCTCCGGGGTTGGGTGATCGCTATTTGCTTGCCGCCATTGCACCAGCCAGCTTCCAGCAGGAATTTTGGTATCTGTGTTGTCTTTCCTGAGGTCACGTGTTAGTTTTACCTTTTTTGAGAGATTCGGAACGCTTACCACTTCCTGTTTCACCAACAACAATGGTAACAGGGTATGTCTCTACTGTGTAGAGGAGTTGGTCTTTGAGTTGCGCGATCGGTAGTAAAGCGGGTGGTTTATAGAGACTTGGAATCAAAGCAGACTCAACGTCCTCATCGTCTGCCATGACTGTATATTGGAAATATAGTTAGAGGGAAAAGATAGAGGTGTGTCGGAGATGCTGAAAGCATCGAGTGCTGTCCGGCTTTCCTGGAGAGGACGCTAGCGATGTACGCTAGCCGTGTCGGGACGCTAGTGCCAGACAATGAGAACCTTGGAAAGCACGAAGAAGAGCACACTCACATCTTGCATCGCACTCCCAGTCATCCACCCAGGACATGTGCATCAGAAGTTTGCTCATCTAGCATTCCCGAAGAGACTGTATGCAAACTCATGATGATACAGCGAGAGATGAACTTCCCAAGTCGCCATGCACCCTGTGCAGGCCAGCTTCCTCATCACCGAATTGAGACATTACTGCATTCAAGCGCTCGTATCTACTAGCTACGCATACTCACCTTCTCCAAGAGACTCTCAGGATTTGAGTTTAGCAGTGAGTGCTACACGATTCCAGACGGGACTGGATAGGTAGCGTTATTGTAATCTATTTGGCCACCTCAGCGATCAAACACGCGTCGCGTAGGTATTCGCATGAGCCACCCACTGAACGAGGTCGTCTAAATTGCGTAAACGAAATGTATGTCCCCCGAAGTTGAGACTACGGTCGGCAATCTACGGAATGTGGCTATCATTGCAATTCTCGAAAACCGCGACTTTGATGTCCCGGGGCTGGCCCTCACTCGCCATCCAAATTCAGCATCTTGGCTAACAGTTCAGTAAGCAACGACCAAGTCGTTGACATCATCTCCGATTGGAAGTAAAGAGTACTGAACCAGATAGTGCTCTCTCACTTGTAATTTTGTTCAAAGCGATCCGAGGAGAACAAGGACGAGATCAAAGTGACATCGAGAGTACCTCTACTGCCTCAGGTTGGTACCTGGTCTATTACCAGAGATCGTATATATATATATGTATATATATCGATCACAGGCTCGCATCTATAGCGCTCATCCCACCTCTTGCTCACTACCACACGAGTTACTGCACTCGGAGTAGAATGGACTGCAAGCAGCACAGTACTTAAGAAACCTAACGAGCCCACTCACATTCACGCCTGTAGGGCCAGCGAACAAGATATCAGAGTCTGTCAGACCCGCGAATTATAATGCGTACGACTGCTTACATGCCCGAACAGATGTCGAACTCAGCCCCACTTACACTGCAGAACATCCAAGACTATGCAAAGAGATACTTCCCAGGCGAATTCGCTACGCTGCCTCCAATTGACTGGCTTCAGTGGCAATCAGCTTCGTCATATCGAACAAAGTCACAATTGAGCCTCATGATCGCTCCTTTGAAGCTATCCATCGGCCACAGTGGCCGGGATTCTCGCAACAAAGTTTGGGCTCACCAAAGTCTTGATCGTGTCCACAAAGTGTACCAACTATCTGGACTAGATCGAAAACTGACAATAGCTTGCCCATCGTCTCATGTCGACCTTTACCATCCGTTTAGAGCCGCATTCAGGGAACACAATTTCGGGTCTCTTGAGGGAGGGGAAAGACGTGGTTGCGAGTTGCGTACCTTAATTCAATACTACTTCATGCTGAAGGGTGCGATACCAGAAGTCGAACCTTTCTGGGCTTTGGGCAGTTTTGAATGGGCAGTCAGATCTGTCGCGTACGGAGCGCCACTCAACAACGTTTCAGTCGACCAATTCGGTCATGCTGCGGCAGAACGACTGCTTTCCATTCGATCTATGATTCCTCACGAACAGCAGACACCAGCTACAACACCCAATGCCGTCACTCTCCAGATACCAGATCTTTTGCCAAATGAGGAGCAGACGTGCACTGTCGAGGATCACCGCACAAACGGGATCGGAGGAATGGGTACGTGTTCGCCAGGTTCAATTGATCGGACGATCAATGTGTGGCGGCTTACGTACAATAGGTATGAAGACACACGGAACACGCCATACAGACCGAGTGAGTGTATCAACCCTAGATAAGCAACTTAAATGGTACTGACTGCAGGATCAGATGAAGAAACTCTTCAAGGGCCAGAGCGATGCCCGAAAGAAGGCTGACCAGTATCTAGCTCTCACATCAGCCGACAAGAAGGCGCATGTAGCAAGAATTCGTCAACTCGAAATTCAGCTCTCTGAAGAACAGGTGGCGCGTGTCGATGCTGATCGAGGCATAACCGCTCTAAGTGAACGGAACAAATACCTACAAAAACGACTCGATGAGGCTAATGTTGCTTTTGCTGAAGCGAAGAAAAAGCTGGAAATCGAAATCACAGATGCCCGCCTACAGAGACAAAGAGTACGCGCGGAGCAGAACAGGCGGATAGAGGCAGAGAAAAAACTCAAGGAAGAATGTGCTCGCACAGAAGTCCGGTGGCAGAAAGCGCGAGCTTTCTACACAAACCAGCAGGAGCTGCTCGAAATGCAGGTTGCAGACTGCACAGACGAAGAAAAAGAGGCGATCCTGAGGGAATTCCAGGAAGACTATGGAGAGTTGGGCCTGAAGTGAGAACAGCGCAAGCATCCGGGATTATCTTGAAGCGGTCTCAATGCTGAGGTACGGTAGGATCGCTGGGATGCAATGCGACGGATTTGATGATTGACTGCATTGGGCTAGAGATCGCGGTCTTCTTTGGATTGTATCTGGGTCTTATCGAGCGACTGGATGGGACCGGCATGAGTGTGACACTCAGAAACCATGGAGGCGAGATGCTGTATCGGGGCGCAAGGATCAAGATGGATCAAGTCCCGGTAGCAAGTGGCGGATGATTGATCAGCTCAGACAGTCTGAGCTAATGAACTGGAAATAGCATAAACATTGATTGCAATTCACCTTTTACGTTGATCGAGCAGTCGCGACTGCTGGTCAATGACGTCTGACGCTAACGTGCGCTTATCGATAGCCCCTCTAACATTTTCGACAGGTCGCGACTCACAGCCCAAGACACTCTCAGATGGCATTTCGCAAGCGCAATATCGCGCTATCTCGCGCACCGGCAAGCGAAGACGCGTCAAATGCGCCATCGTCTCCCTCGATAGCACAACCTGCTCCAACACCCCCCGGTGTCCGCCCCTCACCCATCGATGGCCGCCCCACCACGTCGACCGGCACACCCTCGCTTGATGGCATCTTAGCAGGACATGCTGGCCTAGCGCTAGGAAACTCGATACTCATAGGCGAGAGCGGGACGACGGACTATGCCGGCGCATTACTCCGGTTCTACGCAGCTGAGGGAGTGGTGCAGGGCCATAAAGTGCATGTAGTAGGCATGGGCGAAGTGTGGGGCAGGGAATTACCAGGTATATCAGAAGACAAGTCGGACAAGAGGAAGGAAGGGAAAGAGCGAGCGGAGAAGATGAAGATCGCCTGGAGGTATGAAGGTCTTGGGCAGTTTGAGAGTGCTAGAGGTGCGTTGTGTACATATACTCTGCGAATGCAAGACCATGTATCGAGCAGTTTTGACAAGGTTCTCCACAGGCTCTCCCAATGTGCAGAGGACAGCAGGTCAAGGCGATAGTGCGACAGAAGAACAGATGGTCTTTTGCCATACCTTCGATCTCGCCAAACGTCTCACGCTCCCTGTAGGGACAGCGATCAACTTTGTGCCCATACCTCCACCAACAGGCACTTCGTCACCCTTCCCTCCGATTCTGCAGAACATACGGCAGCAGCTCGAATCGACACCACCACACACGATCCATCGCGTTGTGATACCGTCTCTACTTTCGCCGGCATTATACTCTCCGTCGGCGGCCCACCCGACCTCCGTACTCCAATTCCTCCACGCTCTACGCGCGCTGCTCCGACAGTATCAAGCGCGTCTGACCGCCATTATCACAATTCCCTTGACCCTATATCCAAGATCCTCGGGGCTTGTCCGCTGGATGGAAATCCTCTCTGACGGCGTCGTTGAGCTGTCTCCATTCCCATACTCGCGTGCGCAAGCACTCGCACAATCGGCAGGTACGACGAAGGAGGAAGAGCGACCGCAGGGTATGTTCGCCGTGCACAAGCTACCAGTGTTTCATGAGAAGGGCGGCGGTGGTGGTGCAGGAGACTTGGGCGAGGACATGGCGTTTACGCTGAGTAGGCGGAAATTTGTGATCGCAAAGTACAGCCTGCCGCCGATGGAAGGCGATACCGAGGCACAGGAGGAGGCTGTGCGAGAGGCGGCTGGTGGTAGCAAGATGCCGAAGAAGCAGGATCTGGAGTTCTAGAAGGCTCAAATCGGCGGTAGCGTGTAGATGAAGATACCCTGTACAGCACCGAGATGGGCAGTCAAGCCATACTTCTCGTCGCGCGTGCCAAGTTCCTCATTCCGAGTCGCTGTCTTCCCCCATCATGTCTTCCATCTCAATTTGTTCCCAGCCGCCGGTGCCTGCTCCAGACCCAAACCCTCGTGTGTAGTTTCGACCGAACGATGCGTTTCGAGGATTGAATGTGACGCCGGCGAATCTTGCGCGGAAGCCGTCGCCCATACAAGACGATGCAGCAAGGAATGCGAGGAAGAAGAGAAATGGAATGAAGAGCAACAGGCTCAGGAGAACCAGGACGTTCATGGCGGGCTTGTGGTGTGGGCGGTGCGGTGAAAGAGAGCTGCACGTGGAAAGCTTAAGTTCGAGACCTCGGGACCCCTATGACATAGTGTCGGCGGTTGGCCTCATGGGGACCGAGCCCCTGGCCGCCGTCAACATTTGGGCTACGACTCAACTCAGCCTTTGCAATCTCTCGAGTCTCACAATTCTACAAAAGATGGATCGCATGTTCAAACTACCACTTGGCGCGCTCCTGCTGCTTTCATGCGCCCTCAATGCCTCGGCGCACGGCGGCGCTGAACATGCGCAAGTCGAAGTCCCAGCGGATGCCGACTGGGCGACGCGACACATGGCTGGTATGAACTTCCCCAGATCCCCACAACATGAAACGAATAGCAAGGGCCGTTTACTGATACTGTCGCAGAGGAGCATCACATCGCGGGCTACGACGCAACCACCTTTTTCAACATGCACGACTACGACAGTACTGGTCTATGGACTACCGTCGACATCCGCAAAACCTACGGTCTCGAAGATCTCTCCAGCGCCTCCATCTCCGAGACCAAGAAGCAAATGGTCGTTCAGACTATCCTAGACATGTTCGATATCAACAAGGATGGCTCCATCACCTTGGCTGAATTCCTGCAAAAGGATTCGGAGAACGTCAAGCTCCCGGACTTCGGCATGGGCCCAGGCCACCACGGTGACGACGAGTACGAATACGAGATCCATCATTGGGAGAAGTACCACAGCGGCGACGATGTGAAGGAGGAAGACTTGAACCACCCAGAGGACATTGCGCATTTCAAGATGCACGAGGAGAAGGAGGCGGCACAAGAGGAGTGGGAGAGACTGGAGCTCAGAGGTGTCGTGGAGAAGAACATTCCCCAGAAATACAGGCGGAATTGAGAGCCTCGCAAGAGGTCCGTTGATAGGCGGATGGCGATGGGGTGCACATAATGAGTTCTTGAATACGCGGAGATGATACCTGTGCCAATATACGGCTACCGAATTACAGAATACCTTTCAAAGCCACTTCTCGAACCACGCAAGTACCTGCTTCTCCGAGTCCTCCAGCGCCTTTCTCTCCTGCGGATCGTCTGGGTTGCCCCTAACCGCAAACCCATGCCTGCCAGGCGTATACGCCTTGTGTTCGATCTCAGGGAACCCCTTTCGCGCCTTCTGTGCCTTCGCATGACATTCTTCCACCTTGCTCTTCGTCTCAAAGCTCACAGCGATATCCTCCACACCCCACGCAAAGCTCGTCGGGACAACAAGACCCTCGACGTCTTCGGGAACAACCAGGTGGCTTGGGTGTAGCGCCACGATCGCATCGACAAGCGGCTTCTTCACCCCATCAATCTCGATCATGTTGCTCTCCAACCCCGTACGAGCAGCATACTTTCCGCCCCAGCAGAACCCAACCATGCCGATCTTCCTCTCGCTCGGCGTCGCTCGCCTCAACTCCCTCATAAAGTCAAGACAGATCTTATCCGACTCAGTCTTGCCATGCCTCCGCTGCCACATCAGGAACGTCGGTAAACTAGCCAGGATACCCGTATACTTTGCGAATGTACTCTGTGCCGCCGCGTCCACAGGAAGCAGCGCATCGGCGACTTTTAGCCCGACGGGGTCGCCCTTGAAGAAGTCAGGGAGTAGTACCAGATACTCTCCCGAGGCGGCGTAGGCATCGGCAATGATCTTGTTGTTGGGTAGACCTAGGCCGAAGATGTCAGAGTATATGCAGATTGTTGCGCGGGGTGTGGTCCGGTTTCCGACTGTGTAGACGGAGAGGCCATGGAGTGTTTCGATGGTGCCTTTGGGTGTTCCGGCGTGGATTGAGCCCTTGATGCACTCTGTTGAGCAGGAGGTTGTTGTTGCCATGATGGAGGTCTTTGGTGTGCGGCCTTATGTTTCAATGGTGTTCGATATGATATGCGACTTGGTTGAGAAGACCTAATTTGAGGACTAAGGTTACGAGTATGAATTATTGTCGCTGATCACAGCGCTACCTCCTACCTTTATACACCCTCTGTCCACGGTACACCTTCATCTAAACGGTCTCACCGTCAGAACAAGCATCGTACCAAGCGCTGATAGCGCGACTATTACCCTTTACGTCTACATGACTCTGTAGCCACCAACTGAATCATATTCCATTCTCGCCAATCGTAGATCTCATGAATGGTGGAAGAAGTGAGCAGGCTGCTACGCCCGGCCGATAAGGGCCATCACACGCTAAGCCTCTTGCGGCTTTTTGAGCGAGAGCGTCAGCATCGAGACCGCGCGCGGGGAGATTGGTACGTCCTCTACATGGCGTTGTTGAAGAGTACTTTCACACTTTCAGCTGTGTCTCCTGCGCGGTTTCCGGCGACCCAGTCTGCGGCCCCTTATCACGCGCCTCTTCTCGTACCTCCCGTTTCTAGCGCTCCCAAGGTAATGTTGTATTGTCGCCTACCTGCGATGTTCGATCTTGCATCAACGAAGACGCTCCCTGATCAAAGGGTGTCTGCGATACAGGGAAGACGTGACCGGGAGGAGTTCAGAATTCGTTGCGAAATCTAGCGTCATGCCCCCCAACTCTCCTGAGGTCGCCCTCGATGCCTCCAGGGCTGGCGGTACCGGCACGCAACCACCCCATCGGTCTGACGAGACATGATTGCTACATTAAGCTTGAGATTTATGAGAAGTGCGCTTTCGACCTATTGCATAAGCGTAAGACTGACTGGAGTGGGCATCCGCTGGAATGCTGGGTCGGTACGACAGAGCCCTGGAACCGTTCACGGGTCGGCAGGGTCCACATCACGTGCTTGCCGTCTGCCTAGGAACCGACCTACACATAAAGGCCAAATTTTCCAGCGGATGGTCGACAAATTCTTTACCTCTCTTCTCTCTCTCTCTCTCTCTTTCTCTCTTTAAGAAATCTCAAATACACATCGTCCCAGATTTGCGAGTACCTAGGTAGGTATGGTC